ATCACTTAAGACCAGCTCCAGGGACAAGTTTCTGCAGCTGTACAGCAGCACCACGAGATAGCAGTTGGGAAAATGTCTGCTGACCCTATAGCTGAGATTATTTTTATAATGCACATTTGAGGGAGGAAAGTATAAGTTGTTTATGTTGAACAAGTACAAGCTATAGATAAGAGAGGCTAGATAAAATAAGCAGAAAGCTTCCAGATAGGAGGATAGTCCAAATGGTGAAGAAGTGGTTGCTTCTTGTTTGGTTAGCAGGTACCTGCTAACTTATTATTGCTAAAAGGAAAAAAAAAATGTTCCTTTTGATACCATACATTATTTTTCTACACTAACCAGTTCTCCAGTTCTCTGGCCACAGCCTACATATCCTACAGTTTATTTCAATTATGTGTGTCACTATCTGACTTAATACAGACCACATAGGTTTAAGTGCTCCGTTTCACAAGGCTGCTACCACTTCAGATGCCAGTCCTGGGCCTCTGGTACTTGTGAATGATTTGGCTACAAATCTAGGTTTTCTAAAACTTCCTCCTCAGATTCAGTAATTTTCTATAGTGGCTCATGGAACTCAGGGAAATTTACTGTCATTGGATTATTACAAAGGATATTATAGATGTTGTAAAGGAGCAGCCACATGAAGAAGTATGTAACATGCGGTTCAGAGCAACAGGACCCCTGGTCCTTGTGGAGTTAGGTGCACCATTACTAGCTGGCAGCATAAGATCTGCTCTACACAGGGAATAACATAAGGCTCACAGCAAACAGATCAGTAAAGGCATGTCAGCAAATTGGATGGAAAAGGAAAATATTGGCAACTACATTATTAATATCACAGAAAATAGTAAAAGGATGTGAGACAAAATTCATTATGGTGATATGGTGAGTAGAGCATTCTTCCTTAAGAGTGTGTGAATTCTCAAGTTTTCTCCTAATTTCTCTAATTTCCTCCATGAACAGTTCTGTATCATCTCCATCTCTACTCATCCCATCCCATCATCAGTCTGTTTGTTAAGCATGGCCCATTGAAAATTAGGGCAAATTGGTGAGCCTGTTCCTGCCTGTTATTTTCTCAGGCTATTGCTCCTGCTGCTTCTCAAAGTGTGCATGGCATGCTGTAGTTGTTTGATTTCCTGGGCCTTATCCATGTGGGTGTTTCCTATGCTATCTCCTCCCATTTCTTGCCACTAAGTGTCAAATGGTGACACTAGAGCCTTTCTTCACTTTCCCTGAGGGCAGTGCCAGTGCATTGCACACAATACAGGAGCTGGTAGCCAGGCTCAAGTGACAGCTATACTCTTAGATTTCTTTTAATGAACTGGTTCATGTGATTGTGGAGGCTTCAACTGATTGGATGAGGCCCACCCACATCTTTGAAGGATTCTCTAGTCAAAGTAAACCTACTTAAATGTTAACTTCATCTTAAAAGAAATTTTTTTCCCCCCACAAGCTGGTGGTGGTCATGCTTGCCTGTAGTCCTAGCACTTTGGGAAACTGAGGCATGTGCATTGAAAGTTTGAACCCAGCTTAAATAACTTAGCTACTTAGCCAGATCCTGTCTCGGGGAAAAAATAAGGCCAAGGATGTAGGTCAGTGCAGAGGCACTGGGTTCAAGCTGTGTTGATAAACACAAACAAAAACTACAACAAAAACTTCCACAGAAATACCTGGGCACTGTGGCTCAGCCAAATGGACATGTAATAAAATCAGCCATCATAGTTTTGTTATGGGTGTTAAACCCATTTGTTAACCACATAAAGTGCAATATTTTCTGGTTTATAAAAACAACAAACAGATTTCAGTGAAAGTTATTATATAAGCTTTTGCATATTGGTGAATGGGGCTGAAGAATGAATTCTAAAAGTGAATTTATAGAATGTGATTAACAATGAATTTTTTTCATCGAGACCATTTTTTTAATGAGATATCTTGTTTCTTCAATTGTGATGACCAATAGAAACTAAACATCACAGTTTACAACCCAGATCTGTAGACTACATTGGCATTGTGTCAAAAGATAAAATTATAACAAACTTATTTTATACAATATATCTAATTAGCCTTTACATGATTTGTGAGTCAAGGCAGCCTCTATGTATAAAATAGAATGAGAGTGCCCTCTGGGCAATACCAGAACAGTGGCTTTATAAGGTGGGAAGAAGGAAACAAAGTACTGATTGGTTAATTAACATCACGTTACTTTAGTTTACTGTTTTATACAGGTGAAGGCAGAGGAGACTTTGTTACACCAACTCAGTTCAGTAAGAATCTCTAGTTTCAGGAAAAACTTGTTTGTTTTTGGATCTATCTGCTTCCTTAAAATTTTGGTTTGATTATGTAACATTTACTGGGAGTCACTCCATTTTGCTTTTTTTATCTGGTCAGTTGGAGCTTAGTGCCAAGTCACCTCCCTCAATTTTACTTAACAAATTATGCCAGATTTTAGAAATTAAGAAAAAAAATACTTGATTCATCATGCCCATTAGCAATATTGTTACAACAGGGAGTGGTGGCACTAACCTATATCCCAAGCACTCTGGGAGGCTGAGGCAGGAAGATTGTAAGGTTGATCTCAGCTGGGGCAACTTCATGTACCCTGTCTCAAAAAACAAAACAGCTAGGAATGTAGCTCGTGAAAATACTCAGTTCAAATCTTAACCCAAGCTGATCATGGTGGTACATTCCTATAATCAACCTCAGCGCTCTGGAGGTTGAGGAGGAGGAGGATCACAGGTTCTAGGCTGGCCAGGGCTACAGAGCAAGTTATGGGCTGACCTGGACTACATAGCAAGACCTTATTTTAAAAAAGCAGAAAGAAAGAACTTGTAGCTGTAAAGTTTTTACTTACTATATAAGTAAAGAACAAAAACCTCAAGCCATTAAAATTACATTTTATTTAATTTCTCTTTTAAATTTCTGTTTTTGTGGATTTCAAAATTATATAATTTCATAGCCCTGTCATTTAAATTATAATTAATATACATATAATAGAGGTATTCAGATTTTTTTGAAAGAGCTTATAATTTAAAAAACTGTAATTTTTCTAGAATATAAAAAAGCATATATAAAATTAGATGAAAAAGATAATAGGAACAAAAAGTCTTCCAAATAGTTTGGAAAAATGAAGGAATATTGTTTCAGCTTCATTGTTCTTTTCAGAATTATTTTTTTGAGAGCTTTTCATTTTATAGAGAATTCTACTTTATAATAGCATATTGTGCAGCCAAAGTTTATTGACTAATATGTTTTCTTGCTGTATTCAAGTATACTTTTGAAGCTGATAATCAGAAAATTACTTGGAAGAGAGTAGTAATACCAAACCATGATAAACTGTGGAATTATATTTGCTATTAAGATAGAATTGGCTTTATGGAAGGTTTTATGTACATGGATTTGATTACAGAAACTAATAACATATTCTCTAAATAATGAAAAAAGATGGAATTGGATTTTAGTAATATACTTTTAATATGATTTAGAATAGAAAAAGAGATACAATGGAAAGGAGATTTTTTTTTCATGTGTAAAGACCAATATTACTAAACCATAGGTGATTTAAAAATAACTTGGAAATACAGAAAGGGATGATGCTTCAACATTGTTAGACTTTTATTGATATGTGATTAGTCAGTTTGGACTAATTTCCTGAAGGGAAATGGTAATTTCTCTGGCATTAGGTAGAAGGAACTATTTTTGAGGATTTTTGTTTGTTTGTTTGTTTGTTTGTTTGTTTTAATTGTGAGAGGTTCTTGCTGTATAGTTTGGGCTGGCCTTGAATTCACTATGTAGCTCAGGCTGCCCTCAAACTTGTGGTGATCCTCCTGCCTCAACTTCCTGAGGCTGGGATTATAGGTATGTGCCACCAACGCCTGACCTTTTTTTTTTTTTGGTCGGTCTGTCTGTCTGTCTATCTATCTATCTATCTATCATTTGGTACAGGGTCTCACTACGTAGCTTAGACTCATAGTAATCCTCCTGTCTCAGCCTTCAACAGTGCTGGCATTACAGATGTGCTCTACCATGTCCGGTTGTGTGGCTGGCACATCACACCTGGTTCCGGGGCTGGCGTGGCATGTGGTAGTGGGGATTGAACCTGGGTCCTTGACCTTGCCAGGTTTGCTGAGCTATCTTCCCCAGCCCTACTTGGCCTATTTTTGAGGATTTTAAGTCTTGCATGACCGAGGTGGTAGAGGCTCTATTGTATATTAATATTGTGCTTAGTGCATTGTAGAACACTTTTTTTTTGTGGCTGGCTCATGTGGTGCCAGGGATCGAACCACAGTCCCTGCCCTGCGCTTGCCTAAGCTTGCCTAAGCAGGCACTTTACTGAGCTGTCTCACCAGCCCCTTGTAGAACACTTTTAATAACATCATCACAGTCCTTCGAGGTGAGTGATGGGACTCTCACTCTAAGATAGAAAAAACTTTGATTAACTTGCTCAGTGTTGAACTCTGTAAATGACAGATCTCAGAATTTGAATACAGGCGTATTTGATTTTGTTCAGCTAACCAATTCTTCATTGGTTGCCTGCAGTGATATCAAGCCTCGTATTTAGGGATTGGGAGTTCAGAGGTAAATAATATATTTTTTGTCTCTTGATGGCAGCAGGATAAGATAGTACAGAGTACTATAATTTTAGAGTGCCTTTGGGACCTAGAAAAAGACTATTCATCTCAGTTTGAGAGTTTGGGATCAGTTTTTGAGGAGTACTCTGTCCAAACTGAATATCAAAAGAAGAATAAGAGTGAGTTAAAAAAAAAAAAAAATGACCAGGTTAGAGTGTTGAAGCTAGGGAGCCCTGCGGGTAAGGGCATTCAGCCATAAAGTAGCATAATGTTAGCTTAGGAACCCATTTGTTGGTCTTGAAAGGTAAGGTGGTTGGGGAAGAGCTTTTTCATTTTATACTTTATTGCTTCTCTGTACAGTTATCAGATGCTGGTTACAATATTTGTGGTTAAAACTTCAGCCTTTTTCAATGCCTTTTTACTTCCCTTTTCTAGGATCAGTTCGACAGTTTAGACAAGCATACACAATGGGGAATTGACTTCTTGGAAAGATACGCCAAATTTGTTAAAGAGAGAATAGAAATTGAACAGAACTATGCAAAGCAATTGAGGTAAGTTATTTTTCAGTTCATAGGAATTATATTTAAGCAGTTTAATATTAAATATGGTATTCCGTAAGCTAAATTATAAATTTTTCATCTGACTTAGATTGAAAATTGTAACTGGTTTGTTTTAATGATTGATTTAATCAATCAAGTACTAATCTATGACTAGTACTACAGAGAGTGTTTGCTAGCTAGACAGCAAGTAGCTTTCCTTGCAGAAAGACATTTTAAAGATAAGAGAATTAGGGAACAAAATGCCAAGTAAAAAATAGTACTTGGGTATGACTCTTGTATACAATTCTATGTCCCTATTGTTTACCAGTCTCTACAAATTGTTAAACATTTCTCAAGTGTTTATAATTTTTCAGCACTTCTAAGATTTGAAAATTAAATGTGTTCTAAAGTAAAACTGGGGCTGGTGAGATGGCTCAGTGGTCTAAAGCACCTACCTAGAACAAGCTAAGCTAAAGCACAGAGACCGCGGTTCAATTCCCCAGCACCCATGCCAGCCAGCCCCGCCCCCTGGTGGGCTGAGCTGGACACACACACACACACACACACACACACACACAAAAAAATAAAATTTTAAAAAATAAATAAAAATATTTTAAAAAAATAAAGTAAAACTGATAAAATTAATCTTAGATTTTATTCAAATAGAAAAATCATTAGATTTTACTTGACAAGTAGTTTTGCTGGAGCTTAATGAAATTATTGCTTGAAGTTTTAAGACAAGAAAATAGAGTTCTGGCTTTAGGGACAAAGATTCCAGTGTAAACAGGTACCCATGACTACCAAGTCCAGGCATTCTTTTGGTAACAGGAATCAAACTCAGGATTTTGCCCTTGCCAGGCAGGCACTATGCTACTAAACCTTATCCCCAGCCTATCCAGGCATGTTTTTATTCAGGGAGAAATTAGCTCCATTTGTTGGCTCTATTTTCCTTTGTTTCATTTATACTCAGTACCATCCTCTCTACTGCTTTGACTCTATATTTCTTGACTTTGTACCTCTATATGCTGAAGAATGGTAATCTTGTTACAGCTTCAGGTAGGAGAAGGAGAGTAGAGGAGGTGGAAGAAAGTTCAAGCTTGTCTATCTTGTTCCAGAAAGCCTAGCAAAGATCTCCGTTATTCATACTTTAAACAGTTTACTGAGATCGTGATAGTGGATAACTCATAGTTAATGGCGAAGAATAACTCCAAATAAATTTAAAATAGTAACTTTACAGAGGTATTTTGAGAGTCATATATGCGCAGTGTAGTTATTCTTGCAACCAGTTTACTGGATGTAGGTAAAGCAAATATAATGAATACATTACTTATAATTTTTTTGATGCTGTCATACTGTTTGTATTTACTGTGACATTATGCCAATATCACAATCTTTTTTTATAAGGTAATTTTCATATGAAATAAAGGTCTGAATAGGGAACCTATTAGTAATAATAGTAATAGTATTTCATCTGTCTAAAAATTACTGTCTGGGAATTTTATCCCTTGAGAATCTAAAAGTATAAAGGACCTTTGAGAGATTAAAATGGCACTTACAAAGTTTACTTGCATGTTGTCAATAAAATATTGCTCTCATGTATTTTTAATTTAATTTTGATTTTAACAAGTAAGATTTTCTACTTTTAGGTTTCTGATAGAAGTGAGCAGAAGATGTGCTATTGACAGTGCAGTGATGGCAGTTAGTGTGGAGAAAATAAGGAAAAACCTTAACAATTTTAAAAACAGATGAAATTTGTTGTAGAAGTGAATAATGCTCACTACTTCTGTGGCTCTAAGGGTATAAATCATTTTATTATAACAGTAAACATAAATATTGGTAAGGATAAGTCTGATCCTCAAAAATATTTTGAAGAAGGCAGGACATATGAATGTCTCTCAAAAAAATGTATATGTGCCTTTAATTTAGCATTTTCATTGCTGATCTGTCCTGATGAAAAGCATGTGCACAAAGAGATATGCACCACATTTAATTGAAGAGTGGAACAATTTCCTATTAAAAGTACCTGTTAAAAGAATGATAAAAAATATTGTATAAGTAGTTTGAAAAACAGGTATACTACAGTATTTAAAAGGCTATTCAGTCCATCACAATAAAAAGAAAGCTGCAGAACTAGATGTACAGTAATATCTCTATTGCTTTGAAATTATATATACAATTCTGTATAAAATTTGTATGTATTCTGAGGTAATCTTAAAAGCATACACCCAATTAGTAATTTCCCTTGGCAGAATAGAAGAGGGGAGGTAAGAGAAGGAATTTTTACTTCATGCCGTTTTGAATTATTGAAGTATTTTTTAATAATTTTGCATGTTTTTATAATTTAAAACACTGGTTCTTAAGCAAAAATGATGATATACTTCAAAAGAGAATCCTATTGCAAATTTTGAATTCATAATTATATGAATTGTTAAAGCTAAAGCTTTAACAATCTGGAATATTTAACTATCCAGGAAAACTCAGGCCTCTTGTTTCTTGTTGGTTATAATTTTGCTAGAGTAATAGGACTCATTGAATCAAACAGCAGACTTGTTTTTCTCTGTCCTGAGATAATATCCGTTAGTTTTCTCTTACAAAAAAGGATATTGAACCTCACTTCACTGAAGTTAGGGTGGCTAATAATTTCATAATTAATTTTTCATTAATTATGAAAAGTTAACTATAGCGAGAAAGTAGATTCTATTGTATATAGATGCTATAGATCAGTGAGCTGTTGTTTTAGCACATGTAAGGAATTTGGTACCTTTCCATCCTAATAATGGCTCTCAGTAGCTGTGGTTCTCGGCCAGGTTAGGTTAGGATTATTGGACCTTGTTGATATATTTGAACAAGGAAGAGTTGGGAGGAAACATGTTTAATTTAACACTGCCAGTCCCTCTCTTCCCTCTACATTGAGATTTCCTACATTTGGAAGAAGTCCTAGTAAATGATTGGATTGTCAGCTGCTGTTTATAATATGTTTTGTTTGAAGGGAAGCGATTTGCCTTGTTTACTTCCCTTTCTTTAATAGGTAAAATTCCTTTGATTCTCCCTATTTTTTCTACTGCAGAAGTTCATTTCATACATATGAAAAATATGCTGCCTAGTGTAGTGTTTCTCTCCTACACAATAGTTATATTTAGGATGTTAATCAAATATTTACATTTTAAATGTATTGTAAGACTAAAGTTTTTCAATATAAGTTCTTGGTATTGCTCAGATTATTTTGGTTTTTTGGTCTCAGATTGTTTATTCTTTGGTTCTTATATTTTGATGGATTTGCTTTAACTTCAGGCTGTTGGTTTTGATATTTTTTGGAATCTATATAAGATGGGAATAACTAGAAAACAACATATCTGATTATGTTTGGAGGCATAGTTTATAGGCAGTTGATGCTATCGAATTGATTGATTCTAAATGATGATTTTAGATTCCTTGGTTCTGTTTTTGTTTGTAACCACATAAACTGAAGTAATTTTTTTCTTGTGGCGCTGTGAATTGAACATAGGGCCTTTTTGGATGGTTGGCAGTGACTGCCACAAAGTATTCATAAGTTTGGGGTTCTTTTGTTCAGTCTAGGATAGAAATCAGGAGAAGACAAACTACAGTAGTTAGTTTGTTTTAAAATATAACCAGCTCATTTTGGTTTTCCAGCTTACCCAAGGGTTGTTTTGCTAAATTTGAGACAAAAATCATGAGGAGGCAAGTGGTATGTCCAAATGAGGCTTTATCAGGTATTATTCTTGAGCACAAGGGGAGGCAGTGCATAAAGTTAGGGTGTCTAGACTGTTCCCTGGGGATGCAAGGATTACAGTTTATATTCATCAAAAAGTTCAAAGACAAAAAAAAAAAAAGATGGGCAGGCTTAATGTGGTTTTTGTACATGCCTTGCTACTTCTTTGCTTTTGACACGGGGGCTCACACTTGAGACAGTGATCTGTGCATGTGGTTTGGGTTTGCCTGAGCTATAGAGGTACTCACTGCTGCTACCCTAGGCAAGTCATATAATTTATTGGACAAGTTCAGGCCTGCTGTACATGCCAGGGTGGTAGGAAAGTTTGAGGAAGGAGTCATCAGCTCTTGAATCTTGGCATTGGTGGAAGTAAATGTTTTGAAGGCAGCTTATAGTCAGGAAACCCTGGAGGAGGAAATCCAACTCCTTTTTGCTCTGTATTTTTATTTTCCTCCCAAGACATTTTATCCTCCTTAAACATAAGAGGTCATGGATGAATGTCTGGGACATTGACTCTGTGGTTTTCCAGAGGGGTAAAAAATCTCACAGACTGCTGTGATGACCTGATGGACCCATTTTCTCTTCTCAAAGATATAGGTTGGAAGTTTTGCATAAAGATTACTTTGGCTTGAAACTGTTACAGTCTGGAAGACAAACCTTACGAAATGCTTAAAAAGTATAAGATGCAAGATTGACAATAGAAATATCAGGTAATGGATTGAAGAAAGGAATAAAACAAGATAGGAATGATAGTGCAAACCTAACTGTATTCCAAATGAAGGCAGCCGTAGGATTGCCTTGCTCAAAAGTATATGTAACGTTGATAGTAGCGTCTGCTCCTGTTTTGATTCAGATAAAACAGGAGATATTGGTAACTACATAGATTTCTTCCTATTCTGATAGATATCAAACATGGTCATGAAGACCACAGTGGCAGGAAAGTATAAGGACTTAGATCAGTAGCATCTTCTCCAAATTCTGGGCTAGAGGACAGATTTCTGGGCAGAGATTCCTTAGAATGACCTCATGGTATTTGACCTATGGGATCAGCAACGCAACAAACAGTCCTGTTCCTGAATTATCCTGGTGTTCTTCAGTCTTGTCATAGAAAAGAGCCTTAGAAATAACATTTACAAGTAGTCACATTCTATTTTCAAGGCATCTATGCTGTTTCCTAGCAATAGTGTATTGTCCTGAAAATGAGAGTTGTCTGTGTAGGAATAACTTAATGCTTGGGAGTGAGTGGAGAAAAGGGAATTGGGTCTCTCTTCTTAGAGGAAAA